GGGGGGGAGGGGGGGGGTTTCAGGATACTGGAGGCATGGGTGTTGCGGGGGGATAGGGGACTGAGCTGGGAGGGGGGGAGACATGGGTGTTGCAGGAGGTTAGGGGACTGAGTTTGGGGAGGAATACATGGGTGTTGCGGGTGGATAGGAGGCTGAGCCTGGCGGGGAGAGTGTTGTGGGGATAGCGGGCTGAGCGACGTGGTGGGGCACATGGGGCTGGGAGCTCAACCTGTGTGTGTGTGTGTGTGTGTGTGTGTGTGAATAAATGCATTAAAGTTTGAGGTGCTCAGATACTATGGTGTTGATGGCTTTATAAGTACCTAAGAAAGGAGACACAGAGGCTGAGGGCCCTGCGCACATGGTGTGCACAGACAATGCGTTTTTGTAAAGACCCTGAGACTGCATCATCTCATGGGAAGGAAATACAGGGATTGAGCTGGGCTGGGAAGTGGCCTGTCCCAGCCTGTCATATGTTTGGATGGAACTGGAGAATTGTCACAACCCCGCGTGACAGTGGGAGTGGACGCATATGTACACATTTGTGTGTTATCTAAGTGGGAATTGGTACAAATGTTTGGTGGAGTGCATGCAGACCAGACTGCAAGGTGCGTCTCAGCTTGGAAGAGAGCTTCTCTTCAATACTGTCAGTGGCTCTGGAGGGTGATTTTGTTGGCTCATGCACCTTTCCTAGTGCCACAGTCCTGCCACTTTTTAGAAATGTTGCTTGTCGCTGTGGCATTATTTTAGTCAAAGCTCTGCACGGTGGGGCAAAAAGCTGTCCAGTATGCATCTCGATCTGAGCCGAGGCTTGGATCACAATGGTACATAAGAATAGCCATTACTTGTCTCTCCTGTGGTCCACTTCATTCAGCATGGGCAGTTGGTTCAATTTTACACAGTTCTCAGCAAGTTGTCTGTGTCCATGTTTGAGCAGAGTTTATGTGGTGGGGTTGTAGCTTTGCCAATCCAGGATATTAGAGACACAAAGTGGGGAGGGGAGGTCATATCATTTATTGGACAAATTTCTTTTGGTGAAAGAGAGAATCTTTTGAGGTACACGGAGCTCTTCCTCCAGTATGGGAAAGGTACTCGAGTTTAGATTCCCTTGAAATATATGTAGTGCCTGTGTCAATAGCTTGGGCACCATTTCTCTCTTCTCCTTGTGAGAATCAAGCTGGTTTTTCCTTTTTGCTTTCTTGTCCTTTTTTGTTTGTGCTTGACAAACAGCTTTGGAGACTCCAGTTCTCTGCTGTGTAGTCACAGAACAGCTAATAGGGTGTCCCAGACTTCCCTTCTGCCTGTGTGTCTGGTCTCTAGGAATGTGCTCTAGGAGTGCATAAGTTCAGTTTCCCTGAGCTCTCTGCCAGAGTCTGTCAGTGCCTATTGTGATGGTGTCAGTTCTGTACTATGCACTGTTGTCTTGCTGGATACTGTTTGTACTGTGCACTGTTGTCTTGCTGGATACTGGTGTCAGACTTCCTGCATTCATGCTAAGTATTACTGATGATTGCTGCTGATATTGGTTGAATTTGAATTTTCTACCTCGAGGTGAAAGGTTCCAGCTTATTACTAATACATCAAGCCTTGCAGTGCCTCAGATGAAGAATTTAAAAGATCACAGTCAAATTTGTGTTTAATCTTGTACTGAAATTTTGTCAGATAAGATTTTGATAAAAACTTAAGTAGAATTTAAAAAAAAGAGAATAAAAAATGGTTTGTAAACATTGCTCCCTGCAGTATTTGAAACACAAACATTGGGGCCAAAAGAACCTGGATGTGACACAATTGATATAATTGAGTTTCGTTGTCCATGACGAGAAATGTGAAAAAGTAAATAGCATAAATAGTGACACAAGTTGGGACTCTTGCAATTCTTTGAATCTAATCTGGGTGTAACAATTTGTTGCATGCAAACATTTTTACCTCCGCTTACTGACACTGTCTCTGTAAAGCAGTGGTCTCCAACCTTTTTAAGCATGAGATCATTTTTGAATTTAAGTGCAATCCAGGATCTACCTCAAACCCAAACACCTTTCCCTCAGCTCCTTCTTGCCCCTTCTCCGAGGCGCTACCCCTGCTCACTCTGTCCTCCCTCCCTCCCTTATCTTCACTCACTTTTATCATGCTTGGGGCAGAGGGCTGAGGTGCAGGGGAGGGGGATGCGGATGCTCATCTTGGGCTAAAGGATTTGGAGAGTGAGAGGGGCTCTAAGCTGAGCCTGGGGCAGGGAGTTGAGGTGCAGGAGGGGTGCAGGCTCTGGGAAGGAGTTTGGGTGCAGGGGGACTTGGCTAGAGCAGGAGTTTGGAGTGCAGGAGGGGTTCAGAAGTAGGGCTGGGGTTCAGAATGCGGGCTCCAGCTGGGCATCGCTTACCACAGGTGGCTTCTGGGTGGTGATGCAGGGGCTAAAGTAGGCTCACCCCGACTCTGGCCCTGCACCACTCCCAAAAGCAGCCACCAAACTTGCTCCATCCCTGCCCCCTGCTCTATAGAGATGGGGTATACAGTTAAGGGAGGGGCACTCTGACATCAGCAACTTCTCTTCTTCCTGTCCCCTGCACAGCAAGCAAGAGGCTCCCAGGGGTGGGGACAGCTCCAAGGCAGGAGCAGCACGGCAGTGCGGAGAGGGGCAGATGAAGTGCCAGCACTTGATAGCTCCCCAGCAAACCTGTCAGGATCACCTGTCAAAGGCTCCAAGATCTACCAGTAGATCTCGATCTGCTGGTTGGTGACGACTGCTGTAAAGAGACAAAGTTGGTGAGGTAATGTTTCTTATTGACTCAACTTCTGTTTGTGCAAGAGACAAGCTTACACAGAACTTACACATGACCTGAAGAAGAGTTCTGTGTAAACTTCAAAGCTTGTCTCTCTCACCAACAGAAGTTGGTCCAATGAAATATGTTACCTTCCACCTAGTCTCTTTAATATCCTGGAACTGACAGGCCCATAGAACTGCATACTGTGGGTAAGCATGAAGGGTAGCTGATGAGCCCAGGCTCATTAATTAACTGTGTGCACGGTTACACTTTCACATCCATGTAATACAAATATGTTGCTTTTAGAGGGATAAGTGTAGTAAATGTTATGTAATTGTGACAACCAGTTATTTGAACATATCTGAAATAGCTTTCTTCATAAATCACTGCTTGAAACCAAAATCCCAGTCTCCTGTCTAAGCAAACACATAGCCTTCAACAAATACTTGACTTTCAACTCTCATCTGTCCTTTGAGGAACAATCAGCTGAGAATGACCAACTTCCTTTTAAATCTATGTTGCTTTTAGCTGAATAGTCTTAGTCACAGTTTCCATGCTATGTAGTCTCTTGCGGTATGTGGGTCAGTGTCACTGTGACTACATACACAAGTCTTAGCAGTTTGCTTTCCCTGTTTGTCCCCAACAGATTCCTTATAAAATGTTAACTTAATCGAATTCAAATACATATTTTGTTGCTTCATTACCTTAATACAAGGGTGGGCAATAAGTTGGTGGTGGTTTGCAAGGGTTGGCCCCTGGCAGGCCGCTGTCACTTTATTTACCTGTGCCGCCTCAGGTACGGGCATTTGAAGATCCTGTTTGCAGCATATCACCGTTCTTGCTAGTGGGAGCTGTGGGAAGTGTTGTCCTGGTCTGCGCCATTTCCCAAAGCTCCCACTGGCTAGGAAGGGTGATCCACGGCCAACGGGCGCTGCAAGCTCTCATACCTGCGGAGACACAGGTAAAGACAGAGGTGACGGCCTGCCGGCAGCTAACCCTAGCCAACTTTCTGGCATGTGGGTTATTGCTCACCACTTCCTTAATATGTGGAGTTTTAACTGGGGCTGGTTCCTTGAAACTGATAAAGATGACCTCTGAGATGATCTTTATTTAAATGACAGCTAGTACCTACAGAGTACAGGTGGTCGTAAGAGTCTTCTTTCAAAGTCTGCAGTCATGTTTCGTTCTCCTCAAGTTTGTCCTGCAGCCAGTGCTTTCTCAATGAACCATAAATGGCATCAGATCAGCAATCTTTTTTTGCAGGTCACAGATCTAAAGGTTCATTTTCATATTTCTTTTTGTAGATCTCAGCTCAGACTTTTTCTCTTTGATTTGTTTTCCTTGAATGAAATGACATACAGTGTCTGATGAAGAACAGCCAGTGGTGTACGTGCCAGGTACGATCTCTTTAATAGTTGTAAATGATGCTTTGTTCTGTGAAACATTGTCGTGAATTTTTTCAGTTGTATGTTTTTCAGTTGCACATGAGAACCGCTGTAAGCTTTAATTTCCTGCTTGTATAGGGACATACAGGGTTATAGTAGAGGGTTTATGGTCCACTGCTTATGCAGGTATAAAGTAGAAGATGAATTGTTTTAGGGAGATATCACGGTAGAGTTGTACAGTACAGTACTCTCTGATTTGTGGTTTTAGACTGAATCTTAATTGAGTCACTATTACCAGGGCTCGACAAACCATGGCGCAATCCACTCGCCAGCCCCGCACTGCGCATGCGTGCACCTCTGGTGAACGGGGCAACCAGCTGAAATCTACTCACCATGGGCAAGTAGATAAACGGATTTGTCAAGCCCTGCCTATTACAGATTTGAACATCTCTAATGGTTTAGTAATAGAGATGTAGCCGTGTTAGTCTGGTCTTGCTGAAACAAAAGACAGGACTATGCAGCACTTTTAAAGACTAACAAGATGGTTTATTAGGTGATGAGCTTTCGTGGGCCAGACCCACTTCCTCAGATCAAATTCTGGAAGATCAAAGCCTGGACCATTCTACACGAGAGATCCATTTCCTGGACACCACAGTACAAATTACTTAAATACCACTCTCTACAGAAAACCCACTGACTCCTACAGTTACCTACATGCCTCCAGCTCCCATCCAGGACACACCATACGATCCATCATCTATAGCCAAGCCCTTAGGTACAACCGCATCTGCTCTAATCCTACTGACAGAGACCAGAAACTTCAGGATCTTTACCAAACATTTGTCAATCTCAATTACCCACCGGGCGAAATAAGAAAAAAAAAAATTGAAAGAGCCAGACAAATACCCAGAAACCATCTACTTCAAGACAGGTCCAAGAAAACCAACAATAGAACACCACTTGTCATCACCTATACCCCCAACTAAAACCCCTCCAACGCATTATTTGTAACCTACAACCTATACTGGAACAGGATACTACACTCTGAGAGGCTCTGGGGGACACACCCATAGTCTCCTATAGACAACCACCTAACCTCAGGATGATTCTTACCAACAACCACAGGGCATACCACACCAATACCAACCCTGGAACTTTCCTTTGCAACAAACCTCATTGCCAACTTTGTCCACATATTTACTCTGGTGACACCATCACTGGACCTAACCATGTCAGTTACAAGATCAAGAACACATATTCCTGTTCATGCAGAAATATAATTTATGCCATCATGTGCCAACAGTGTCCTTCTGCTGTGTATATTGGACAAACGTCTCAGACACTTTGCCAAAGAATTAATGCCCACAAATCAGACATCTTCACAAGGGTAAACCAGTTTCTTTTCATTTCAACCAACCTGGGCATAGTCTTAACGACCTTACTACATGTATCTTACTTCAAAGAGACTTTAACACCAGACTTCAAAGGGAAACCTCAGAACTGTCATTCATGCTTAAATTTGACACTTTATGAATGGGCCTTAACAAAGATGCTAATTACCTTACCCATTACAAAGATAGCTTCCCCAATTATCACCTCTAGTATTATTATCTCATAGATACTAACCCTCCCCCTTCTGTTCTAAATCTGATTTGTCAGTTTTATAATGTGTTCTCTTTTTTTCATTGTATTCCTTTGGTATATATGGTTGTACCAATTCTCTTCCAGAATTTGATCTGAGGAAGTGGGTCTGGCCCATGAAAGCTCATCACCTAATAAACCATCTTGTTAGTCTTTAAAGTGCTGCATTGTCCTGTCTTTTGTTTCTAATGGTTTAGTGAGGCTTGGGGCAAGATCTAATTCAATCCAGTGTACAGGTCCATCTTTTGCTGTTCTATGTTTAGTTTAGATGGTGGTCTTAGTTGTCCTTCCGAGTTTCTAATCATATGAACTGGTTTCAAGCACAGAGCCTTAAAACAGCTATAACAACTTGCCTGATTCTAAAAAAATATGCATGTAACACATAACACAATGTGCGCTGCATTGAGAAACCATGTGATCTAGGTTTGTACCAGCACAGTTGACTTTTTAAAAAGAAAATCCTGTTAATGCAGGGCAGATGGCCTATGCTACAGCTGAATTAAAAAAAGCATGGTTGAATGTGATTGTAGCTGGTATGTTTAAAGCCCAGGTGTTGACATATAGTCTGTGACCTGGAAAGGAGAACTTACGATTTAGAATTCCTTTCTGGATTTACAAAGGAAATAGTTTGTAATGCAAACCAAAAAATACCAGCCAACTTTTGGAACTCTATCCCTGGTAAATATGGATGGTGGGGGATGGAGTAAGCTGGAGAACTTCTTTAGAAGCTTTCTTTTTTTAATGACTGATTCACTTTTGAAATCTTCATACAAAAAATAAATGTACTAAGTTTGCTAACAAAAGTTTACATGACAATTTAAAAAACTTCCTGGTGCTTCTAATCAGTGACCAAAATTTGATCCATAGGTCTTTAAAGGGAAACCAACACTGTACTATAAAGCCACCAAAGGCCTTGGCTGGGTTAGAGATGTAAGAGTGTAGTCGGTTAATTGATAAGCAAAAGGTTACAGGTTAATGCTATAGAATACATGCATTCCCCCACCCCTACCAGTCAATTTTTTAGAAGGCTGGCCAGCAGCCCGTCTCAGTCCTGGCTTTTGCTGGGTCCAGGCCCTACTCCTGTTGCAGCTCTGCATTTAAAGTGTATTAGGAGCTAGGCGGGCAGACAGGTCGGCTCAGTTCTGGCTTACACCAGGTCTGGGAGCTCAGACCCACCCCCCGGACTCATATCAGAGGCAGCAACTAGGGTGACAAGCAGCCAGTCCGCGAGGGGAGCTGGTTTTTAAACTGGCTCGCATCACGGACCAGCTCCTGCCTGTCACCCCATGCTGATAACAGAGGCAGCAGCGCCGAGTGGCAGTGGGTACTATAGAATAGTTGAGTAACTGGTATTTAACATCCCTAGTCTGGGCTGGAGCTGTCAGACCTTACTATGTAATCCCTGCCAGTGGACCTGAAGTAATGTTAGCAATGGTGAAAGATTATTTTTATAGAGCGATCACACACTCATTAGGGTGCTAGCCAAGGACTTTGGAGACCTGAGTTGAACCCCCTGCTTTCTTACAGACTTGCTTTGTGGCTCTGGGCAAGTCATTTAGCCTCTCTGTGCCTTGGTTTGCCATCTTTCAGGTGGGATTAATGGTACTTCTCTATCTTTCAGGAATGTGAGGATAGGTTACATTAATGATTGTGAAGCATTTTGGGATGTTCTGTTGAAAAGCTCCCAGATAAGAGCCAGGTGGTGGTGCTAACCATGGGTTTGATACGATGAACAAACCACATTAACCTTCATAAAAATACACAGCGATAGTATGTATGTAGGCTTGGCAGAATTAATTTTTTTTAATCATTTTGATGGATAACATCATTTTTTATTTTTAAGTATTTTTAGATTTTATTGACTTTAAATTTTCACAGTTGTGAAATTTAAGCCACGGAGGGGCAGGCATTATTTAGTGACCAATGTTGAGATTCAATAAGTTAGTTTTTATAAATGCTAAAACACAGACTGTTAACATCACACATCAAAATATACAAAGTAAATGTGCTTCAATCAAGGTATGAGTTCTCAAGCTGCATGTTTTTCTTTTTTCAGTCTGTATGTTTTGATTATTGTAACTGAAAATATTTTCTGTTGGTATGTATATGTATGGTGAAATCAACATTTACCAACTCTACCAATTAAAAATTGAACCCAAGTCCTATAAAGAGGTGAAACATTAAAAAGTCATGTAAGCGGTGGTGACATTAGCCTTATTTATGGTCTTAATTAGACCTTATTTATAGTGTTGTTACAGAAGAACCTTTGGTTTATACTTCTATTTTTAAACGAATGGAAGTTTTGGCAGTGAACTTCAGTCATAGGACAGAACTAATGGGTGTGTCCAAGTCTATAGGTTATTTTGAGAGCATTTTGCATAATTTATCTGCAAGCTGAGTGATAGGCTCTAGCCATTGCTCTGGATGTTAAATATCAGTTAGTTGAAAAGTCAATTAACTCATGAATTTTTATCGGTTATGCGACTATTCTGTAGTCCCTGGGGGCGGAGCCAGGAGCCAGTGTGCTCCAGCCGCACTCCTGAGGAGCCTCTTGCCACCTCGCACTGCTGCCTCTGTATCAGAGGCAGCAAGATGGGATGCCAGATGGGAGCTGGTCCATGAGGGGAGCTAGTTAGAAAAACAGCTCCCCTTGCAGACTGGTTGCCTGTCACCCTGTGCTGCTGCCTCTGATACAGTGGCAGCAGCCCCCCTCTGGGGGAGGGGGGGCTGAGCGCCCCGTGGCTTCTAATACACTTTAAATGCAGATCTATACTGGGGGGGTAGGTCCCAGACCTGGCGCAAGCCAGGACTGAGCTATGCTGCTGGTCAGCCTGCTAAAATATTTACTGGCAAGCGGGGAGGGGATGTGTGTAGTCTATAGCATTATCCTATAAGCTTTTGCTTATCAGTTAATCGACTACACTATTACACCCCTAGCCAGTGCTATCCATCTCTCTTGAGGCTCATTCCATATTCTAAGAACTTAGAATTTCCTCTCAAAGTCTTTTGGTCTTTCTTCTTTAGGGCTTTCTTCAGAAGGAAATTTAAGAACGAGACATGTTGTAAAGGGTCGAAAAAGCGAAGCTAAGCTGAAGGTGCTGGGAGCTGCTCCTTCTGTTTCCATGGATCCCGTTCCAAGCACAGGAGACCCAACAGGACAGCAGGTCAGCCAGCATGAACTTGACTTATTTTGAAGATAAACTTAAAAAACAACAAACGGTCTGGTAGCACTTTATAGACTAACAAAACATGTAGATGGTATCATAAGCTTTCGCAGTCATCTGAAGAAGTGGGCTGTGCCAACGAAAGCTCATGATACCATCTACATGTTTTGTTAGTCTATAAAGTGCTACCAGACCGTTTGTTGTTTTTTAAGTTTATCTTCTTTTGAAGAATCCAGACAAACAGTAGAAAAATGGCTGCTAATTGTTAGCTTGCAAACTTTTAAAAGTTGTTGGTAATCATTACTTAGCACTGATGTTTTTACGCTGTTGCAAACTTGCATGATGGCTTGCAGGCTGCAATAGAGATGCAGTCCTTCCTAGAGGGGCCTGCAGCCTAAAGACAGGGCAAAGACTAAAACTGATGACTGATAAGAATGCTATGCAGGTTGGGTGTGTGAAACACACATTGTTATTCCTGTACAGGTCTATAGACAGTAGATTTTTGGTTAGCTATGAAATAAGCTACAAAACACCCAGAAGACAGAGCAAATAGTGACCCGATTTTTTCAATTGGTTTCAATTCTCAAGTAGCATCTTTTTCATTTACAATAGGAAATAAGAAAAGTTTAAAGACCTACTAATTCATCTACTCTATTCCCCTGCCAATAGAAGATTGTTCCCTACAATATATTGCGAGACAAGTTCCAAAGCAGTATGATTTTCCTTGCAGGACTATTCCAGGGTCCAACAGACCTCACCGGAATTCTGTGGTGAAGTGTGTACCTCAATCATGGCCATCTAAACTAGTAGTAATTTATTTAGTGCCTCCTTTATCAGTCAGCACCATCCTTTCTGTCACTTTGGTTTGGGATCTAGACATCATATTTTACTCTCTTCACCACGGGTAGTCAAACTATAGCCCATGGGACCAAGGGTGGGCAAACTACAGCCCACAGGCTGCATCCGGCCTATCAGGGCTTCTAATATGGCCTTTAAGATGCACAGTGGGGCAAAGGCAGGGTCTCTGCCTTCTCTGATTTGGTAAGGTTGAACAAAATGTAAACCTGGGTAGAACTTGGCCTCTCTTGTTCATTTGGGCATGGAGACAATGGTCGTCTCATTCCCCTTTTAAACTGTAGTTAACGTGGTTAAGAATTCCAGACCTTGATGTGTGGAGAGGTGCACATCTGCCTCTGAGCATGGGTTCCAATAGCTGTGGAACTATGAAAGCACAAAGACACACTGTGTCTTCATCCCCTACATCCATCTGTGTTGCTGTGGGCAGTGCAGTTAATGTGGGCTTGGAGGATGCCTTGAGGGTCTATACCACCCTGTGGAGGAATCAGATCAAAGGAATTCTCTGCTTCCAGCCATCAGCCCATTCTTCAGGGCTCTGAAAATGATTTAATTACCTAGTTGTTCATTTTCTAAAGCAGCCAGCTCAAGGGTCCCCCTGTGGCCATTTTGAACCAGGAGACCTAAGCCTTCTAGAGCAGCGGCTTTCAAACTTTTTTTTTTCATGACCCAGTTGAAGAAAATTGTTGATGCCTGTGACCCAGCATAATTTGACTAGAATATGAGTTCTGGATTGGGGCTGAACAGGAGGGATTTGGGGGACAGAAGTGGGCTCTGGGTTCGGGGGTGGGTCAGGACTGGGACAGGAGGGGCTTACCTTGAGTGGCTCCCAGTCAGTAGTGCATCAGGGGCCCTAAGGCAGCTTCTTGCCTCTCCTGGCACTGCAGACCTTGCTGCACCCCAGAAGCAGCCAACAGCATGTTCCCAACTAGTGGGAGTGCAGAGCTATTGTGTGGAGCTCTGTACGCTGCGTCTCCCCCCAAACCTACAAGCTGGGCCTGCTCCCAACTGCTTCTGGGGTGCAGCACAGTCTGTGGTGCCGGGATAGGCAGGTAGCATTCCCACTGGTCACCTTATCTCCCTGTGGCAACGAGACCCAGTGTCTAACATTCCACGATCTGGTACTGGGTCATGACCCGTAGTTTGAATACCATTGTCCTAGGCAGCCTATCGGTATGTGCTATTGAAATTCCTTAATCCAAAATTAAAAGTTTAAGTCAAATTCTGTGCTTAATTTCCTCATTCTGTGCTATAGAATGTGCATGAGTGGGGAATAGACATACTTTTCAAGTAGATATTCGATCTCTAATTCTTGTGGCTCTTCTCTGAATCCTCTCTAACTTACTTACATTTTTCTGGAATTGTGGACCTCAGACCTGGACAAAGTAGCGGTCACAGCAGTGCCAAATACAGAGGTCAAACAATCTCTTCGTACCTACTCAACGTTCCCATGTTTATGCATCCAAGGATCACATTTGTCCTTCTGGCACAGTGCCATGCTAGCAGCTCATGTCCTGCTGGTTATCCACCATGACCTGAAATCTTTTTCTTTTTCTATCTCTACTCAGGATAGAGAACCCCATTCTGTTAGTCATTCCCAGATATATAAATGTATATTTAGCTATATTAAAATACGTGTTTGCTTGCGCTCAGCTTACCAAGCATTCCATATTACTCTGAATTAGTAACCCATCCTTTTAATTATTTATTATTTCCCCAATTTTTGTGTCACTTTAGTGATGATTTTGTTTTCTTCCAGATCATTGATAAATGTGTTCAATAGCATTAGGCCAAAACCCAATCCCTGTGTGATGCCATTAGAGACTCACCCATTCAGTGGTGATCCCCTCTTTACAGTTAATTTTAAGACCCACATGTGCTATGTTAATTTTATACTGTTTTGGTTTTCAGTCTAAATGGCATGCGGTACTAGGCTAAATGCCTTACAGAAGTCTAGGTATATAACGTCAACACTATTACCTTTGGGCTTGTGAACGCTCCAGTGCATCTGATGAAGTGGTTTTTACCCATGAAAGCCTATGCCCAAATGAATCTGTTAGTCTTTAAGGTGCCACAGGACTCCGTGTTGTTTTTGCAGATCCAGACTAGCACAGCTGTCCCTCTGAGACTATTTCCTTTATCAACCAAATTTATAATCTCATCAAAAATGTCAAGTTAGTTAGACAGGATCTTTATTCAAAATAAACCCATGTTGATTGGCATTAATTATATTACTTTCCTTTAGTTCTTTATGAATCTAGTCCTGTTTCAGCCATCCATTATCCTTCAAGGGTCTGTGTCAGTCTAACAAACCTATAAGTTTCTAGGTCATTCCATTTACCCTTTTTAAATATTGGAACAACATTAGCTTTCTTCTGGAACTTCCCCAGCGGTCAAAGACTTATTGAAAATCAGTATTAACAGTCCAGCAGCCTCGTCAGGTAGCTCTTTTAGAACTCTCAGATACAAGTTATCTAAGTCTGCATGTTTAAAGTTGTCTAACCTCAGTAGCTGCCCTTTAAAATCTTCCTGAGCTACTACAGGTTGAACCTTTCTAGACTGCACCTCAGGACCTGACTGGTTCCGAACCAGAGAATTTACCAGACCACAGGAGGTCAATATTGTCTAGCATAGGTGTGGCCAACGTGAGCCTGAGAAGGAGCCACAGTCTACCAATTTACATTGCCAGAGAGCTACAGTAATTTGTCAGCAGTCCCCATCAGGTGCCTCCTCTCCCATCTCCAGTATCTTTTGACTGCCAGCAGCCCCACCGATCAGCACCTCCTTTTCCTTCCCCTCACTTTCTGACCACTGCAGTCAGCTGTTCCATGGCTCTCAAGAGGCTTGGTGGGTGATGGAAGGAGCGAGGGCGCAATATGCTTGGAGGAGGAGGAAGTGGAGCCAGGAGTTGAGCACTAGAAAGTTGGCACTTGTAGCTGCAGCCCTGGAGCCAGTGCCTGAGCAAGGAGCCACGTATTAACTTCGGAAGACCTGTGGCTCTAAAGCCAGGTTGGCTACCCTGGTCTAACAGTGTTACTAACACTTCCATTGCTTACTGGGCCGTTAGAGGACATTTAGGAGTAAATTAGAGCTAAACAACAGCATAGACACTTAGAGTTAGGACTGTTGGCTGTAAAACTTTGAGGTCACAGGAAACTTGGCCATACCCATGAAAAGTGGGGACATCCAGCTAACTAAAATAATTCCGGACCATGGGTGTTTCTGGACCAGAGAGTTCTGGACTAGAGAGGTTCAGTCTGTAATAGAATGGAAAGCATGTTATCGTATGACTACATCATCATTGGATGTCCGATTTTATTACATGTAAGTAAAGATCTAGTACACTGAAAACATATTCTTAAGTATTTACCATTACTTCCACTTAGTTTGATTTCTGTTCTATTACTACAACATTTTTAGAGGAAATAATTTTGATGAAAAATAATAGTCTGCAGCTCCTCTTTTGATTGCTTTCTGTTCCATATAGGTTCTTATACTGAGCTCATCACAGGCCTTGGATAGCTCAGTCACTAGTTGTATAAGGTTGTTCTTTTACTAAATAAGTGGAACAGCACATGGAAAAATCCACAGTTATATGTAGGCTTGGCAGAATTCAATTTTTATATTTTATAATTTTTCCAGATGATGTTTCTTTTAAAGCACATACAGGCAGTCCCCGAGTTACACGGATCCGACTTATGTCGGATCCGCAGTTACGAACGGGGCCCGTCTCCCTGGTCTCCAGCAGACCAGAGAGAGGAAGCAAAGCGGCGGAACACGCGGGCAGTGGACAGCCCAGACGCGTCTGGGCTGTCCGCTACCCGCGTGCTCCTTGGCTTTGCTCTGCTTTGCTCCCCGTCTCCCTGGTCTGCAGACCAGGGGGATGGGGATCAAAGTCGCG